AGATGCTTGCTACCCCCTTGGTCTGGCTCATTGTTCCTCATCCTACCTCTCACTTCCTGCAGGAACTCCTGGTTGCTCCCCGCCAGGTGCTTTCCTCATCACAGCCCCAGCCGCTGTGTCATAACACCTGGTGACATAACACCGGGTCATAACATGGTATCACAACATCTGTCTCCCGAGCCTCAGAGGGTGGGGTCTGTGAGAGCGAGGATGGTGTGTGCTCAGTCACCACTGTGCCCCAGTGTGAGGCCCCTAGAAGGTGCTGTGTATTTATAAATATCCGAGCATCATGAGTGGTAAAGGTGGCTGGAGCAGGTCAAGGATCTTCGAGGATGCAGCAGGGTGGTTAAGAGTGAGGGCTGTCAAGCCATGCTACTCCCTGGCTAGGTGACCTTGGGCAATTTATGTCGCTGCTCTGGGTCTCAGTTTCCCCATCTCTGATACTGGATAATAATGACGAAGGCTACTCCACAGGGTTCTTTGGAGAAAGACAGAAGATGATCATGCAAAAGCCTTGGCATGGAGGAAGCCCTTGATTAGGTGTTTGGAGATGGGCGGGGGGGGGGGGGGGGTCTGAGGCATCAGCCCACTGTTTTCCAGGCATATCAGCCTCCTACCAGGTCCTTGGACACATCAGGCTCCTCCCCACCACGGGGCCTTTGCACTGGCTGTTCCCTCCACCCGGAATGTCCTTCCCACCATTCACTCCATGCTCCATTCAAATGCCACTCTATCAGGGAGGCTCTCCCAGGTCTCCCAGGCATGATCCTGGCACTCTGTTTAATGCCTTCACAGCATCTGTCACTACCTATGCTTCTGATATTTGTTTAGTTGCTTGTCGTCCATTTCCCCTACTAGAGTGTCAGCCACTTGAGGGCAGGAATTCTTGCCTCTTTGGTTTACAGCTGCCTTCCCAGCACCTAGCACATACCCTGGCACACCGAAGGTGCTCAGTATTTAATGAATGAATAACACATCTGGATGTGGGGAGAGTGTCAGATACCTTTTTGCTGGGTAAACCAAGGCACAAAGGGGTGGCCAGTATCCCTGACTACCCAGTCTCTCCCTAGCCACTACAGGGTCCACGCTGTTTTGGCCCATGGCTCAGGAACAGGATACACCCAGACAGCCAGACAGAGCTGGGATAGACTGATGGGAGTGGGGAATACCTGTGGAACAAGTGGGCAGGGGACAGGGAGTTTGGGGTGCTGAGATGGGCCTCTGGACCCAATTAGTATGCTCAGAGGAGGGAGCCAGGCTGACCTAAGTTTAAGTCCCAGCTCCACACTACCCAGTGGGGAGCCTTGGTCTGGTCACTGGCTCCCAGGACATCTGTTTTCACAACTGTCAAATAAGAAACTAAACAGAGTGCAAAGAAAAGGCTCTGGACCGAAGCAGAATCAGCATCCCAGCTCAGCTGCTACTGCGCTGGGTGACTTGGCTCTCTCTGAGCCTTGGGGAATGAGCTGGATGCTTCCTGGGGGCCACAGGGCCCATTCTCTTACCAGAGATGCCACCTCTGCCATCCAGAATGTCTCGGGGGCCCTCCTTGGTGACAGGCAGGTAATGGGTGGACCGGAAGATGCCACCTTCCCCCTCAGCAGCCTCGGCTCCACCCTCGATGTTCTCCCTCGGCATCGGGCCAGGCAGTCTCTCTGGGCCTCGGGGACGATCTGGTGCAGCTGGGTTGCCTGCCAGGGACCCCTCCATTGGATTTTCTCTGCTTGGATCCACTCAGCTGCTGGGCTGGCTCAGCGGGGCATTGTGGGCCTGGGGACAGAGAGAGAGAAGTGCTTAGGGGATGGAGGAAAGGGAATCTGCCTCAGTTTCCCCTCCCTCAAAAACTCGGTCCTCACCTTTGCAGCTCACTGCCTCAGTTTACCTCCCAGCCCAGGGGAGCTAATGGTGTTCAGACCTTATCCACACACCTTCTATCCCAATGGCCCCTACCCTCAGCATGCCTCCATCTCCCCATCAATAACTCTTCCCCTTTATACAGATCCTGCACTGCCTCAGTTTACCCATATTGACACATGCACACTCAGCCACCAGGTTTTCTTCCATCAATCTTTCCACTTCTCCAGACGCCTCCCTTCATTCACACACAGCTGCACTTTCCCCAGTCCTGCCCTCACACCCATGCACACGCACATCCTACTGCCATGCCTTCGTTTCCTCGGCAAGAATCCCAGCCACTTGTACACTCCGATCCTATACACCGTCAGGAGTCTCCCATCATTACCCCTTTACTTTTCTCCATTGGGTTGTCCCATACCAGTGATCCCTGCACTTTCCCACACTCCAACCCTTCCCCCACACAGGACCTTAGGGTTCTCCAGCATTAACCCCTTCACCCCCCTCCACACACACAGCCTCAAGTGACCCCAGCATTAACCCTTTCGCTTCTCCCCAACATTATCCCTCATGCATACCCAGCTTGGGCTCCTCCATTCCCCCCACCCCCCAACCAAGATTGCTCTAGTCCTCGGGCGAAAGAAAACGATGGGGCTCCTGGTCCAGAAATGAGGACCCTGGGGAGCGGGGGTTGTCCTCTCTACCTATAAATACCTTCAAGGTAACGGCGGAAAGTGAAGGGCAGGAATGAGGCGCCCTCCCCAGGGAGATGGTGGGGAGGCCGGGCCCAGGCAACCGGGGCGGGGCCGGGGCGCCAGGCCTGGTTGCAGGCGCTGCCCTCGGGGGCCTGGGGATTCCCAGGGGGCTCCTCCGTGGGCTGGCAGTCTTGGTGGGGGTCCCTACCCAGGCCCGGAGGAAGCACCTGCGGTTGTCCACCGGGTGGGCACTGCCCGCGGGGAACGGGCGGGACCGCAACTTCGGAGCACTTTGGCAGCGTGGGGAGGGGGCTCCTACCCGGATGCCCCCCAGGGGTCGCAGAGGTGGGGGCTGCGCCGTGCGGGCCCACTCCTCGGGGGTCCAGGGTCCGGGGGATGCGTCCTCCGCCCGTGCACCCCGGGGCGGGAGACCCCGCGGGACGCGCCGAGGTAGGGGGGACACCTGCCCCAAGACCCCCGCCCCTCCCCCCACCTGCACGGCCCCGCCCCCGACCAGGCCCCGCCCCTGAAGGCCCCGCCCCCGCCCCCGCCCCGGGGGGTCCCGCCTGGCCCGGCCCGGCCCGGGCCTCCCCCGCCCCGCTACGGCTCCGCCCCACCCGCGGGCTCCCCAGGCCGGGCCGGGCCTCACCAGGGAGGCGGCGCCGCCAGCCAGGTGCCGGGGCTCGGAGCTCCCCTCCTTGGTGCGGCCGTCGCTGCCGCTACCGCCGCTGCCGCTCCCGGTGCCGGTGCCGCGGCCTCCGCAGCCGCCGCCGCCTCCACCGCTCGGGGGACATTGTCCCTTTAAATCGCTCCCCCCGCCGCCCCGCCCCCCCGGCGCGCCGCCGTGACCTCAGCGCGACAGCCCCGCCGCGCCGCCATGATGGGGAGGTCCGGGGCGCCCCCCTCCCCCCCCGTGCCGCCCCAGGGGGGGGCGGCCAGCGGGCTCGCCGCCATGTTGGGAGTGGCCAAGCAGGTCACCCTTAAAGGGCCCGCACGGCCTGAGTCCAGGGAGAGACCCCGTTACCATGACAACACCCTTGTCGTCCCACCCCCCCCAATGGCTCCTCATCACCCCACTGGTACTTCCAATGGTAGACTCGCTAAAAGCTCTAAAAGAGTGGGAAGGGGGCAGAGAAGTTCCCCCACGGGTCATTGATGGGTCATTGATAGGTCATTGAAGACTCCACCCAGCCAATTTTTAACCTTTTGTCCCCTGCCCCCCCATCAGCTACCTTTCAACCGCAAGCTCACTCCCTCCTTCCCAATCATCCACACTGGACTTGCCCACACCTCCATGCCCCTAGAGTTGCCCTAGGTCTTCAGTCCTAAGTCACCTTCTCCACCCAGTTCCCAGGATCACAGCTTCCAGGACTACCCCATCAGACACACATCATGGCCTGTTGTCTTGTCTTATCCACCATGTATCCAGATATCTAACCACCTAGCCATCTCACTCACTTGCTCAATCTATCAATCACTCATCTACCTATCCAATCAACTAATCACCTATCCACCCACCCCTCCAACCATCTATTAATTCACCCAAACACCCACTCAACACACCCATTCACTTCCCATCTACCCACCCATTCATCCAGCACCCAAGCAAATACTCATTTATCCACATAACCAAGCAAGTACCCAACCATCCCCACACACAACTTTCCGCCCAGCCCCCTAAACATCCATCCACCAGTTTGCCTGTTGATTTGGCCCCTCCACTAGCATGTAAGTTCCATGAGGCCAGGAGTCCTGTCTAGTTCATTATTATTTCTGCACTGCCCAGTTCTCAGGAGTCTCAGGAGACCTCAACATATGTACATATGACATATATAATCACAACATTCAAAAAATTTTTTTCTTACTATGAACCAGGCCTTTTCTAGGCAGACATACCCAACCTGGTTAACCAACTACCCAACTACTCACCTACTAGGTCAAACATCCAGCAAATGCTAACCTATCCGTCTGCCATTTGCTCCACCCACTCTACCCCTCACCCATCCACTCACCCATGTTTTGAATGACTCGTTTACCCAATCATTCATACACAGTATGAATTTATCCATCTCCCAGACCCATGGCCTCCATGACATGAGGAGGGCCTGAGAAGATGCTCTCACTGTGGGATTGGGAGGTTGCCAGGGTTGGAATTCATGCTTCATTGAGAAGCAGGTGCTGCCTATGACAATGGTGAATACCTTTTATCAAATGCCTTTATGTGTCCTCTCACTGTGTAGGGAACTTTACGTCCATTTCACAGATAAGAAAACGGGCTTTTAAGAGAATGAAGGTCTAAGGTAACACAGCTGGTGAGAGCTTACGTATATGGCCCTCTCCATGAGACTTCTAATTAGGGGAGAATTTGGGAGAGACGAATAGGGCTTGTGGGGGGGGGGGCAAATGCCTTAGAACTGGCAATTCTTAGTGGGCAAAGAAACCAGCAATTTTACTGAAATCAAGATTTTACTGGGCAACTTCACACTGCCAGAGTGGTTGGGACCAGCAGCTCCACTCCCCATTGTTGGCCAAGTAGGGCTAAGGCAAGGTCAGACACCCACCCCCCGGCCAAGACGGCTATCTCTCTGCTCCCAGACCACGTGTGGTGAGGCAGGATGGGCAGCTCAGGTGGTGTCTCCATTGAGGCAGGGTGCTTTGAGGGGCTGGGGTTGACTCCGAGACCCCCGCGTCCTTGGAGAAAGCTGCAGGCTCTGGACAGCATCCCTCAGCTGAGCCTGAGTTCTCTCCATCTCATTTAGGCGGTGTTCCTGGGGAGGCAGTGGCGATGGGGCTCAGAAACCAGGAGAGGGCTGCACCCCAACCCTCGCTCCTCCACCGCCCAGACCTGTCCCAGGGCTCAGACGGCAGTCTCACCAGGCTTTTCAGACTGTGCCCTTCATAGATTGGAAGGTTGTGCTTTGAATCAAACTCTGAGCTCCTGTGGGGGTCGGGGGATGGGGGCGAAGGTCAGAGGCTAAGGAGTCCGTTCCAGCTCCTGGTTGGAGTGGCAGGGATTCAGGGGGGCGGAGCTTGGAGTGGAGGCGGAGCTTGTTCAGACTGAAGGGCGGGGCCTAAATATGCTTGAAGAAGGGTCGGACCAGAGACTGGAATAGTTGGAATGATAGGACCTATCAATCATCCCTTGGAGGCGGGGCTTGGCCCGTCCTGAGTGGGGTCGTAACTGGGCTTGAGGGAGTGCCCAGGCTGAGATATCTCAGTGCCCGGCCCAGCCAGGTTGGGAGGGGCTGATGGAGGGGTGGGGCCTGGATGAGAGAATCTGCCAGCGTCCTAGGCCGACCTTCGGGGGGGTGGGTCCACCTGGGGGCGGGGCTCGCCAAGAGGGGCCCGGACAGATTTTTATTAGGGCGGGGCCAGCGTGGGGCTTGGTCGTGCCAGGCGTGGTTTGGGGAGGGTCTGGTCAGATCTAATTGGATCGGGCCCACCTGGGGGCGGAGCTAATGGAGAGGGCTGGGCTCACCCAGCACAGAGCCTGGAGTCCAGATCCTGCAGCTGGCCCCGCAGCTGCTCCTGCTGCTCCGTCAAGGCCCGGATGTGGGTGCTCAGCGACTCCACGAGGCGGGACAGCACTTTCTGCTCCTCACGCAGAGCGGCCACCTCGCACTGCAGCTCTGCCAACTGTGGTGGGAGAGCAGCTGTAATCTGACCCGTCGTCCCGCCCCTGTGTCTCCCTGGAGACCCTGACCTTCCAGGCCCAAGCGTTCAGCGTCATCACCGGCCTGCCTAGTTGGGGAACATCCCTCCTGCCGTACAGCTGGGGAGACTGAAGCTCAGAGAGGGTCGGGCTAGGCCCGTGGTCACACAGCGCAGCGAGCTGGGTACTTGAACCCAGGCTTACCTGGCCCTTCAGTCTTCCCCAGTCGCGTCCGCGTCCCCGTCCCCACTCCCCAGGCGGGGACCTGGGCCTGACCTTACCTTGTTCACAGGTCGGTGCTTGCCCAGTGCCTGGTTTCGGTCTTGCGGCTGGTCTATTTGGCGCTGCCAGGGTACCGACGGCTTCCGAGGCAGCGAGGCGGAGTCCCGGGTCCAAGGCCGGGCGCGGGGCGCCGGACCCGTGCTCAGGGAGCCTTTGGGTCGCGGCCAGGGCCCCGCAGATTGGCGGCGGCGGGCAGGACGCCGGGTTGGTACACTCTGCGTGCGCTGCACCGGCCGGGACCGCCGCAGGGGCCGCTCTTCGTCCGGCTGTGGCCGGGCCCAACTCTCTGAGCGGCGAACGCTGCGCAGAGACTGGCTCTTGGAGATGAGAGGGGTGTGCTTGGGGAGGTCCCGGGGGGCCAGGAAGCCGGGCTTCTCCCCTGCGGAAAGGCTAGGGGTGGGATGGAGGATCTCAGACCCTCTACTGGCCCCTGAGACGACTCCATCCCGACCTGACCAGAAGCGACCTCACCCCCAGGTGAACTTGTCCTTTTTTTTTTTTTTTTTAAGACAAGGTCTTGCTCTGTCACCCAGGCTGGAGTGCAGTGGCTTGATCATAGCTCACTGCAGACTTGAATTCCGGAGCTCAAGCTATTCTCCAGCCTCAGCCTCCCAAATAACTAGGACTGCCAGCGCATGCCACTACACCCAGGTATTTTTATTTATTTATTTTTTTTGGTAGAGATGGGGGTCTCCCTATGTTGCCCAGGTTTGTCTTAAGTTCTTGGCCTCAAGTGATCCTCCTGCCTCAGCCTCCCAAAGTGCTGGGATTACAGGCATGAGCCCCTGAGCCTGGCTCCTGTCCTTGACTTCTAATACTGTCCTCTTTATGACCCTTGACATCACTCCACCCTAACCTCTCCTCTCATCCCTGACCTCAAACACACTGTGACCTTTGACCGGACCCTTTCTATAACCTGTGATTCCAGTCTGACCCTGGGCTTGACCTCTGCTCACAATGATCCATCTTCACCTCTGACCCCTGTCTGAGCCCTGCTCCTTCCTGTTCCCACCCATCAGACCCTAGAGCAGACTTGAGGTTACCTGGAGTGGATCTGGGCCGGGGGTGGTGGGAGACGCATTGGCACTGATACAAGCACAGGCTGGCCCTCCTCGATGGCTTGCAGGATGGTGGGCAGCGGTTCCAGGGAGTCTCGGGTTGTCTGGTGAGGCATGCAGGACAGAGACTGAGCAAAATCTATGAGGTCAGAGTCTCCCAAGCCTTCTTGCCTCCCTATTCTGGGTTCAGGCCATACCTGGTCAAGCTCAGCAAAGATTGTACAGAGCTGGGCATGCAGGACAGCCAACTGGAGGGCCAGGTCACCGCTACCCTGGTAACCACTGGGTGCAGCATCCACATCCACCATGGCCACCTGGTCCAGGAAGCGTTGCATGGCTGGTCCATGTTCCTCCAGGAAGCTATTCATGAAGCCCATGTAGGCCTCCTTCTCACCGAACCTGGATCAGGGCCAGGCTGGGTGGGTCAGGTCAGGCACCTGCCACCCCCACACTCCCAGCATGGTCCCCCCCCACCCCTAGCTTCCCAGCACCTACGGGGCACGGTTGGCGAGGTTCTGGATGACCTTGGCAATCAGTGTGAGGGTGCGGGCTGGGCCGGGTGCTGGATGCTCTGGTGCTAAACCAAAGAGGCTGGGTGCCAGGATGGCGGGGCACAGGAGCCGCAGGAAGAGGGAGGCGCACACCAGTCGGGGGCCCAGCACCTCAGAGCCACGTTCTTTGCATGCTTCTCGCCAGCTTGAGAACACGATGCCCAGCTCCGCAGGGAACCAGCTGGTGCAGAAGAGGCAATGAATGGTCAGACGGGGAGGCTATGGGCATAAAGGTTAAAGTCATAAGGTCGGGAGTCCCAGAAGCATTGCATGACTAGTCCATGATCCTCCAGAAAGCTATTCATGAAGGCCATGTAGGCCTCCTTTTCACTGAACCTGGGGTCTGGACTCCAGGATTGGGAATATCTGAGATAACAATGCTTGGGGTTATGAGTCAGCATGGGGCCATGGCTTATGTGTAGCTATGGCAATCGCTGGGGATAATACTCTTATAGTTGGGGATACAAGGTCACATGAAGACAGAGGTTATGAGCTTGGATATACTTATAATTAGACATGAGATTGGGGAGCCAGAGTACAAGATATAAAGTAGATTGGGGTCTGGAAGTCACCTAGGGTCAGAAGTCACTTGATTGAAGTCAGGGATTAGGTATGCAGGTTAACCTAGGGTCAGAGGTCAAGGGATTGGAATCCCAGGTCTCCTGTGATCAGTTGCATGGGATTTGAGGTGGAGGGTCACTTAAAGCCAGGGATCATGGACTTGGGGCATTATCTGGAAGCAGAGGTCATAGGATTGAGATCCTATGCTAACTGGAGCCAGTGGCATGGAATTGGGTGTATGGAATCACCTGTGGTTACAGGACAAGGAATTGGGTCTCGGGTTACTTGGGGTCAGTGGTGATAGGGTTGCATGGTGACAGGGTTGCCAGATGTAGTAAATGAAACTTCAGGACATCCAGTTAAACATGAATGTCAGATAATGGAGTGATTTTTATTTACATTTTTTCTTTTATTTGGGACAGGGTCTCACTCTGTCAACCAGGCTGGAGTGCTGTGGCAGATCATAGCTCACTGCAGCCTTGAATCCTGGGCTCAAGCGATCCTCCAGCCTCAGCTGGGAATACAGGTGCATGCCACCATGCCTAGCTCATTTTAAAAAAGCTTTTTGGAGCAATGGAGTCTTGCTATGTTGCCCAGACTGGTCTTGAACGCCTGCGCCTGGGCTCAAGCAATCCTCTTGTCTCCGCCTCCCAAAGCATTGGAATTACGGGCGTGAGCCACTATGCCTGGCTCAAATGAGTAATTTTTTAGTATAAGCATGGTCCCAATAATTGCATCAAATTTAACTGAGTGTCTCCTGTATTTTATCTGGCAACCCTAAACTGGGGGTTGGGGCTAGCATGGTAAGCGGGGGTGGACTAAGGGGCTGGGGCCCTGATTCTCACTCGTAGGAATGGATAATGGTTTCGAAGACCTCCTCGCAGCTGTTCCGAAGTCTGGCCTGGTGCTCTGGCAGCTCCGGGGCTGGACACTTGCTGGGGTCCACTTCACAGTCCTCAGTGGAAGCACAGAGACGCCGCACAACCTGTCCTGCAGCCCAGCACAGCCAGATAGGGGCTGGGACCATGACCACCAAAACCCGCCACACCCATCCTCCAACCTTGTCTTCAGGTTATTCCGGAGGCACCCAACATCTTGGGGAGCTCCCAATTGTCCCCAGGATCCTAGCACCTCCAAAACACCACTCACTACCAGAATCCAGGTTGCTCAAGGACTCTTAGAACTTCACCCAGGTCCCCTAGCTCACCAGCAGGCCACTGACACGGACTCTTCCCCCAGCTCACCCAGGGTCTCCTGGAGGTAATCCTGTGCCACGAGCTTCATGTACTCATCGATAGCCTTGGTGGCCAATGTGTTTTCCCGGAACAGCAGCGCCTCACGGCCTCCACAGCGCGCCAGCTCCGCAGTGCCCAGGTCAGTCACCAGCGCCTAGGAAGGGCAGGGGGTCAGGTTGCACCGGATGCAGACTGAGTCCAAGGGAATTCGGATCCTTGGCTCGTCCTTCACACCAGAGGCACAGGCCCCGCCCCTCGTAGCTGATGCTTAGGCCCAGTCCTTACTGCTGGGGTTCATAACCGAGGCCAGAACTTCCAACCCTCACAGCAGAAATTTAAACCTTTTAGCGCTGGGGTTCAACCTGGGTTCAACCCGCCCCTCATGCGTAATGCTCAGGCCCCTCTCGCAGCTGAAGCTTAGGCTCCGCCCTTCAAGGTGTCTCGCCCGTTATGAATGATAATTAGGCCCCGCCCCTCACAGCTGAAGCTCAGGCCCAGTCCTTCAAAGTGCCCCGCCCCTTACAAGTACAGCTCAGCCCCCCGCCCCTCACAGCTGACGCTCAGGTCCCGCCCTTCAAGGTGCCCCGCCCCTTACGGGTGATGTTCAGGCCCCGCCCTTCTAGGTGCCCCGCCCCTTACAGGTGACACTTAAACCACGCCCCTCACAGCTGATGCTCAGGCCCTGCCCTTCAAGGTGTCTTGCCTCTTACAGGTGCAACTCAGGTCCTGCGCCCCAATTACCGCCCGAAGCGCGTTATCGGTCTACCCCTGGTCGCCCGGGTCCGCGCTGTCGCGGTGCCGCACCTGTGCCCGGCCAGTGGCCCGCAGCACGCGCACCATGGCGGCCGCCAGCTCCTCCTTGGCTTGCGCAGGCAGCGCGGGCTCCAGGGCCCCGCAGAGGCGCGCGTAGTGGAAGGTGAGGAACTCCGCCAGCTCCTTGTAGCGCTCGGACGGCAGCACACGCAGGCGACGCGCACGAATCCGCGCCCGCAGCGCTGCGCCCGCCGGCGCCCCGAGCAGCGGGAACCAGCGCTCCAGGCCGGCGGCTGGCGCGCGTGGGGCGCCCAGCTCCTCCAGCGACAGGGCCACGCGGCCCAGCACCGCGCTTCCCGGGCCCAAGCCGCGCAGCCGCAGCGACAGGCGACGTGCAGGTGGCAGCGCCTCGAAGTGAAAGCGCTCGGCCCAGAAGAGCTGGCCTGGGCCGGCCCGAGGCGCCGTGCGTGCCAGCAGCGCACCATCCAGCCACAGTTCGGCGCGCACGCCGGGTGCCCCCGCCGCTGCCCGGGGAAGCCCCTTCGCCTCGTGCACCCACACGCTCAGCCATGTCTCTTCCCGCTCCACGTTGTCCTGCAGATGGGAGTGGGATGGGGGAAGCGTTTTGGTTTGTTGGCACCCCAAAGAGGGCACCGCAAGTGAAGCGCGGAGCCTCAAACCTGGTGCGCTGGGTTCCTAGTGAGATTGCTGGGCCTTTGGGGAAAGAAGTGGAGCCACGGGAGTCCGGAGGTGGCTACGCGGAAGTTTTCTAAAGCTTTTCTGGGCTCTCCGGGAGAGTTCGGGGCTCCAGGGCATAGAAGAGTAGTACTGGAGTGAAGACTTCGCGATTATGTGGTAGGCAGGGCTTTGGGTGCATATAGGGTCGAGAGTGGACAGAAGGGGCGGGTCTCATATTCCCGGGGCTGGTAATAGATGGAAGGGGAGTCTTGGAGCCTTTGCAACGATGCAGGCGGGGCAGGTGCGTTGGGAGCGCGGGTTATGGAGAGAGCTGGCTTTGGGTAGAGTGGAAGGGGTGGGCCAGGCCTGTGGGCGGGGTCTCCGTGTCCCGCTTTATTGAGGGCAATGACCTGGGTGGGCTGGAATTGGCGACGAAGGTCCTCGATCCAGCGGTCTCTCTCAGCGGCCGAGCGACAAGAGAAGCAGCGGCTTCCGCCCGTCCACGTTACCTGTTGGGATGGAGAATCCAACAGTGTGCGATCCAGGCCAAGGGTGAAGCCAAAGGGTGGGAGGTGGGACTGAGGTGGAACCGAGGTGGATTGTCTGCACTTACCTGAAAGCAATGGGGCTCCCCCAAGAGGCTGGGGTGCAGTGGCCAGACCCGCACATCCCGCTCGGCGCCCAGGTCCAGTTCAGAGAGTGTGGCCAGCGACTCCCTAGAGCCCAGAGCACTGGGGGGCCTGGGAAGGGGGCGGGGGAGCACACGGTCATTCCTGCCGCTTCCCATCCCCCATAGCCTGAAGGGTAGAGGAAGGCCAGGAAGGACTTCAACCCAATTCGGATCCCTTTTCTACCCTGTGCCCCCTCCCCATGGCGCCTCCTTACTTTTAAAATAAACTCAACTCCTGGTGACCTATATGACCAAGTAGAGTCCAGATGTTGTTACCTCATCTCCCTCCACCTAATCCATCACTTTCTGAGCTTCAGCCTCCCTGGCCTTGTTTTATTTTATCTTATTTATTTATTTATTTATTTATTTAAAGCAGAGTCTTGTTTAGTGCAGTGGCTGGATCTCGGCTCACTGCAACCTCTGCCTTCCAGGTTCAAGCGATTTTCTTGCCTCAGCCTCCCAAGTAACTGGGATTACAGGTGCCCACCACCATGCCCGGCTAATTTTCTAATGTTTGTGTTTTTAGTAGAGATGGGGTTTCACCACGTTGGCCAGTCTGGTCTTGAAATCCTGATCCCAAGTGATCCACCCACCTCAGCCTCACCAAAGTGTGGGAATACAGGCGTCAGTGACCACGCCCAGTCCTATTTATTTATTTATTTATTTATTTATTTATTGAGACACAGTCTCACTCTGTTGCCCAGGCAGGAATGCAGTGGCACAATCTTGGCTCACTGCAACCTCCACCTCCCAGATTTAAGCGATTCTCCTGCCTCAGCCTCCTGAGTAACTGGAATTACAGGCGTGTGCCACCATGCCCGGCTAATTTTGTATTTTTAGTAGAGATGAGATTTCACCACGTTGCCAGGCTGGTCTTGAACTCCTGACCTCAAATGTTCCACCTGCCTCTGCCTCCCAAAGTGTGGGATTACAGGTGTGAGCCACCGCACCCAGCCCTATTTATTTTTGAGACAGAGTCTTGCTCTGTTGCCCAGGCTGGAGTGCAGTGGCATGATCTCTGTGCACTGCAGCCTCAACTTCCCAGGCTCAAGCAATCCTCCCACTCAGCCTCCCCAGTAGCTGGGACTACAGGTGCCCACCACCATGCCTGGTTAATTTTTGTATTTTTTGTAGAAGTAGGGTCTCACTATATTGCCCAGGCTGGTCTTGAACACCTGGACTCAAGCAGTCTGCCCACTTCGGCCTCCCAAAGTGCTACCCCTGGTCCACTTCACCCAGCCCCCTTGGCCTTGTTTTAGTTGCTTCTTTCTGCCTCTTGGCCTTTGCACTTGCTGTTACTTCTGCCTGGAATGCTTTTCCCACCCCGCTGTTGGCCTAGTTAACTTCCATCCACCCTTCAGATCTCAGCTCAAGGGTCCCTTCCCTAACCCTCCCAGACCAGTTGATTGACTTAGCTCCCATTTTAGAGTTACTGTGTCAGACTTTGCCGGCACCCTGGCTCTGTGCTACGTCATTCAATGTCCCCAGAATCAACTGATGTGGGGCAGAACACAGAGGCTACAGGGGGTGTTTGGTGTAGATTGGAATGATAGGCAAGAGGAGGAGGAGGAGGAAGGGCCAGTGTTGAACCTCAGCCCCTCCAGCCTCTCATACATCCTTACCCATCCCGGGGCTCCGACCTGGCCTTTTTCTTCTCTTTCAGCCTCTTGAGCAACCCCTGTGGGGAAGGGAATGTCAGCTGGACAGAAATCTGTGCTCCTTCCGCAGCTCCTTCCCTCCCGAGATATCCCAGAGGATCTGCTGGTCTTGGAGGACCAACATCAAGCTCAGGCTGTATTAGCAGGAATAATAAGAGCAACCAACAGCTCCTAATTCTTTGTTCATTTGTTTTTTTAAGACAGGGTCTTGCACTGTCAGCCAGGCTGGAGTACAGTGGTGCAATCATAGCTCACTGCAGCCTCAAATTCCTGGGCTCAAGTGATTCTCTTGCCTCAGCTGGGACTACAGGTGAATGTTACCATGTAGAATTGGGGACTTGCTATGTTGCCCAGGTTTGTCTTGAGCTCCTGGTCTCAAGCAATCCTTCTGCTTCCAGCCTCTCAAAATGTTGGGATTACAGGTGTGAACCACTGTGCCTGGGCCAAACTCCCATTTGTAAAGCATCAATCATATATTCTCGTGCACTATTCATTTATTTTTTTAAGACACGGAGTCTCCCCATGTTGCTTAGGCTGGTCTTGAACTCCTGGCCTCAAGCAGTGTTCTCTGCTCAGCCTCCCAAGTAGCTTGGACTACAGCTGTGCACTGCCCTGCCTGGCTCCTGCACTCTCTATTGGCTTCCCAAAAACAACCCCTAGAGAAAGATTATTTCATTAACTCCATCTGACAGACTGGGACTCTGAGGCCCAGAGAGGGTCAGCAACCTGCCCCAGATCACCCAGCAAGAGTGCCCTTTCAGCTGTGAGAGTCTTGGCTATCCCCTCTACCTACCCCCTTCACTGGCTGCCTTACCCGAACGTTGTGGACCTGGTTGGGACCAGCATTGTCTGGTTCTGTCTTTCCAGGCATCCGATCTGTGGGTAGTTATGGGTGGCAGGTTGGGGGGTTGGAGTCATCTTAGATTCTGCCCCACTTTTAGAGCCTCCCAAATGCCCCAGGCCTTTCCACTCTTCAAGCTTACCTGGATCCCTGAAGTTCCCCATGGCCACGTGGATGCTGCCCTCGGAGCTAGCACTTCCTACCCGGGGCCTTCGGGGACCCTGTTCTCCCGCAGGAGTGGGTAGTCAGAGAGGGGAGGCAGGCAGGCAGGCAGACCGAGGGAGAGGCAGACACCTTCCCACTATCCTCCCTCCAGCCTGTACCTCTGTTCTGGCCTCTTCCTTTTTCTTTCTTCCCTCCCCTCGCCCAGGTGCCCCTTCTCACCTCCTCCTCTCCTCCAAGCAGCACCAGCTTCCCATCAAGCAGGGTGAAGCCCCCAATGTCCCAGACAGGCACGTCGGGTGTGGGGGCCTCGGGGATCTGTGGGGTAGGGGGCTCTGGCTCTGGCTCTGGCTCCAGCTCTGGGAAGAAGAGGAGGCACTGGGGGACTTAAGAGACGTTTTCTCTCCCTCAGGCCACCCTTTCCATTCCCGAAGGCTTATGGTGGGTTCCCTCCTAGGTGCCCCCCACCCCAGCAGCTGTATCGGACTGTATAACCTTGGGCAAGTTTTCATGTCTGTCTGGGCCTTGTCCCCACTAACCATGGGTAGCAGACACAGCTCACCTACCATGTGTCCAGTACCCTGTATACCACTCCACACACCTTCTTGCATTGAATCCTCCAAAAGCCATTCAAAGGGCTATGATAACAGGCTCAGAGAGGTTGAATGACTTGCCCAGGGTCACACAGCTTGTGAGTGGTTGGGCTGGGCTTCAGTCACAAGCATTCTTCTCTCTTTTTTTTTTTTTTCTTTGCATTCTTCTCTTAACCAAGACAACATGTGGGTCCAAGAGGTTAAAAAACAGGACCGAGTCTGGGCACGATGGCTCATGCCTGTAATCCCAACATTTGGGAGGCCGAGGTGGGGCGGATTGCTTGAGATCTGGAGTTTGAGAACAGCCTGGGCAACATAACAAGACCCTGTCTTTTAAAAATAGCCTGACGTAGCTGGGCTCCGTGGCTCACACCTGTAATCCTAGCACTTTGGGAGGCCGAGGCGGGCAGATCACCTGAGGCCAGGAGTTTGAAACTAGCCTGACCAACATGGAGAAACCCCGTGTCTACTAAAAATACAAAATTAGCCGGGCGTGGTGGCGCATGCCTGTAATCCCAGCTACTTGGGAGGCTGAGGCAGGAGAATTGCTTGAACCTGGGAGGCGGAGGTTGTGGTAGCCCAGATAGTGCTATTGCACTCCAGCCTGGGCAACAAGAGTAAAACTCCGTCTCAAAACAAAACAAAACAAAACAAAAAAACCCTGACACTGTGTTGTGTGCCCATATTTCCAGTTACTTGGGAGGCTGAGGTGGGAGGATCGCTTGAGCCGCAGAATTCAAGGCAGCAGTGAGCTATGATCATGCAACTGCACTCCAGCCTGGGCAACAGAGCAAGACCCTGTCTCTGAAAAACAACGGCAGGCCAGGCGCAGTGGCTCACACCTGTAATTCCAGCACTTTGGGAGGCCGAGGTGGGTGAATCACCTGAGGTCAGGAGTTTGAGATGACCCTGGCCAACATGGTGAAACTCCGTCTCTACTAAAAATACAAAATTAGCCAGGTGTGGTGGCGCATGCCTGTAATCCCAGCTACTCGGGAGGCTGAGGCAGGAGAACCTCTTGAACCTGGGAGGCAGAGGTGCAGTGAGCTGAGATTGCACCACTGCACTCCAGCCTGGGCGACAGAGCGAGACTCCGTCTCAAAAAAAAAAAAAAAAAAAAGGGAATATAAGCAGTGAGAATTAAATGAGCTTCCAGGAAACAGAAGGGCTGAATTAGCCCTCCCAGACTGCCTGTCTGTTCCCTCGTTTTTACCACCAGGAGCAATAAATGATAACTCTCACTTATTAACGGATCACTTAAAATATGCTGGGCCCTAGCCTAGTGTTACATTCCTGAGCCCTAATTCTTGCGATATCCATTACTCTTCTAGATCCCCCTATGTGACACTTAGCACCATCTGTCATTTTTTTTCTCTTTCTTTCGTTTTTTTTCCTTTGAGATGGAGTCTCACTCTGTTGCCCAGGTTGGAGTGCAGTGGCGCAATCTTGACTCACTGCAACCTCTGCCTCCTGGGTTCAAGCTATTATCCTGCCTCAGCCTCCTGAGTAACTGGGAGTATAGGCATGTGTTACCATGCCCAGATACTTTTTTTTAAAATTTTTTATTTTTAGTAGAGACAGGGTTTTGCCATGTTGGCCAGGCTGGTCTCGAACTCCTGAACTCAGGTGATCCATCCGCCTTGGCCTCCCAAAGTGCTGGGATTACAGGTGTGAGCCACCATGCCTAGTCCATCTGTCATTTTCTTGTTGATGTATTTTCAGTCAATTCCACTACACTGTGAGCTCCATGGGGCAGGGAGTGTCATCCGTCTCTTTCACTAGTGTGCCCTCAGTGCCTAAATCAGGGCCTGGCACATACAATAGAAGCTCAACATCACACCTGTAATCCCAGCACTTTGGGAGGCTCAGGCGGGCGGATCACAAGGTCAGGAAATCAAGACCATCCTGGCCAACATGGTGAAACCCCGTCTCTACTGAAAATACAAAAAATTAGCCAGGCGTGGTGGCGGGCGCCTGTAGTCCCAGCTACTCAGGAGGCTGAGGCAGGAGAATGGCGTGAATCCGGGAGGCAGTGCTTGCAGTGAGTGGAGATTGCACCCCTGCACTCCAGCCTGAGTGACAGAGCGAGACTCTGTCTCAAAAAAAAAAAAAGAAAAGAAAAGAAAAGAAGCTCAACAAACCTCTGCTTGAATAAATAAATGAATATGAGCAAATAAAATGATGTACTCTCCAAAATGGAGATCATTATTCTTATTGAACTGATGGAGAAGCTGAGGCTTAAGGGCTCAGAACAAAGACACGGAAGCTAGAAGGTACAAGAGCAGGAGGCAGGCTGAGGATGGATATCCAGGTAGGAAAGGATGGGCTTGAGCCATTGAAGGAGAGACCCGTTGGGGCCAAGAGCCATTTAGCCTCTGGATAATACCACCATGGGTCTACATTCACTGTTCCGTCCTCAGATGGACGCTGTGCCCACGGGACCCTAGCAACTCCTCCTACCTTCTTCAGGGGGAAAGAGGGAACAGGGTAGCTGGGCCCCAGCCACTTCCTGCTGGGCTTTCGCACTCCCCACAACTTCCTGTGTCTGTAGGGTTGATGCTCCGGAGGCAGACAAAACCCAAGCATCCGCCTTCCCAGCCCGGCCCAAGCTCAGGGCGGGGGAACCATGTACCTGAGGCCTCTTGCTCTGGCTCCGGCTCTGGCTCCGGTGGTGGGTTCTTATGCCTCCCCCAGAGGGCCTTGGAGAGTCGAAGGCGACTGGTCCGTGACTCCTTGGGAGGCGCAGATAGGACCCGACGGAATATCGAGCGAGGGGCTGGCTGGGTGCTGACCATGGGCTCCTGGTGGCTCAGGGCCCTGCCCCAGCCAGCAAAGCGGCCCCAGCGAAACCCTCCAGCCCCCTTCTCCCCACCGCGCCCTGTGTGCCAGCGATAGGAAGTCAGCGGAGAGGGAGCTGCGGGCTGGGTTTGGGAGGTCCGGCTTGGCGACGGTGGGTCCATGGTGCGGCGGGGGTGTCTCCTGGGGGGCGAGAGAGTGACAGTTGTGCCCAGTGTCTGTCCACACACTGCCCTCATCTCGGCCCCCTCCCCACTCTCAGCTCTGCCTTCAGGAATCCCCCTGCCCCCACCTCCACTGCCTCCCTTACCTTGGTTTCCTGACCAGAATCAGCAGCCGTCTGCACCCTGCTTGGCTTCCTCCCTCGGAACCCAACTCCACGTGACCCTCTCTGTCCCACCCCACCCCACAGCCAGTCTGGGAGGGCACAGTGGGGGCAGGATGCTGGAGGTTCGGGGGAGGAGAAGAGAGGAGGTGGGTTACTAGGCTTCTAGCAAGAAGGACCCAGAGTCCCTCCCTGACGGGGAGGCAGCGCTTGCCCCTCTCTCTGAGCCTCGGTTGCCTTCTCTGCAAAATGAGTACAGGCTGAAGAAATGCTGGTGAGAATACAGAGCACCTAGAACTCTCAGCCACAGTTGGCCGGAGTGTAGACCCATTCGCTCGTGTTGGGAAACGGTTTGGCAGGATCTACTAACACTATTAGCTGGATCTTCTCTGACTCAGCAATTCCATCGCTGGGTAGACATCCGATAGATATGCCCCTGCCTCCCAGTGCAATGCATAATAGCCCCACATTGGAAACAGCCCAAGTGCCCACTAGTGGAAGAAGGAATAAATTGTGATCTCTTCACACAGCAGAATATCATACAGCAGTGAGAACAAACTAATGAATAATTTAACTTGGGTGAATCACAAACAATGTTGAGCCAAAACCAAAACCAAAGGCATAAAACGCCAGTAATCTGAGCTATTCAGGAGGCTGAGTTTGGGAGGTCTGGCTTGGAGACGGTGTGGTCGAAGTGGGTGGCGGAGGCGGTCTGCTGGGGGTGGAGGGAGTGCGAGTCGGGGTGGCCGGGTGTCTGGTGCGCGCACACGTGCGCGCTGGGATTGTGGGTCGCGCCATGTCAGTGTGTGAGAGGGTGTGAGTTGGTGCGGAGTGAGGCTGTGTGGATCATGGTCTGTGGAATAAGTGTGCAGTGCACTCCGCGAGTTCGTGGGAGTGGGAGGCTATATCTAACTTGTTTTCTCTTTGCTCCCCTCGACCGTTGGCCCTCGGTGGACCGCTTCTAGAGAAGCAATATAAAGTAGGACGGCCGAAGCAGATGAAGAGTGATACACTTTGTGATGTGGCGCGTTGGCCATTTTTGTTGTTGTGGGGTGGATGTTTGTGTTAATAGTGTGGATTATGCGATGTTCCACATGTTTATTCATATATGTGTGTTTACTTGTTTGCTTTGTGGAGGATGTTGGTTGCTGTGTGGTTGTTGTGGTGTATCAATAATGTGTGGGTGTGTGATGCTGCAGAATTTTTGTATGTGATGTGTATGGTGTAGGTTTATTTGAAGAGGTTTGCGTGTGTTGTCTTGTCTAGTGCTGAGGATTCGTGTTGTGTGTGACTGCAACCTCTGCTCGTTGGTTCAGGGGTGGGTTGCTCTGACTCAGCCTCTGAGGTAGCTGGGACGTGCAGGATGAGGCACCGATGATGGTGAGTTTTTTGTATTTTTAAATAGAGATTTTTTTTTTGGGGGTGTTTCACATGGTGCAGGGCTGGTCTTGGAACGTCCTGACCTCAAAGTGTGTGCCTGCGTGTGCTCCAGAAGTGGCTGGTATTACGGTGTAGGACCACGATGCCCACTCTTGTATTATTGACTGTATTTATAAGATGTGAGGGTCTATAAAATAATATGAGTTTATAAAATAAAAAGTATAGATATTTATATCTACAAGTGAAGTATATGAATTGATTATAAGGATAATATGAAGAGGTGTGTATTATTTTTTGTAGATGGAGGGCGTTGTCAATCGCAGGCTGGAGTGGCGAATGGTGGCATGTATATAGCTCGCTGAACCTCGTACTCCTGGGGGTGTCAAGCGGATCGTCTCGCGTCGGTGTGTGTGTGTGGAGTAGCTGGGGACTAAGCTGCTGCCACCAACCTGGCTAATTAAAATGTTTTTTTTTTTTTGTAGAGATGGGGGTCTTGCTTTGTTGCCCAGGCTGGTCTTGAACTCCTGGCCTCAAGTGGTCCTTACACCTCAGCCCCCCAAGTAGCTGGGATAATAGGCACATGCTACCATGCCTGGCCTATTTTTTTTTTTTTTTTTGACGTGAAATTCACATAACACAAATTTAGCATGTTCTTTTTTTTTAATAAGATTTTTCTTTTTTGAGACAGAGTCTTGCTCTGCTGGAGTGCAGGGGCACAATCATAGCTCACTGCATCCTTGACCTCCTGGGCTCAAG